TGACTCTGGTGAATCCCCTCATCTCCCACATCTCTGGTCTGTACTCTAGTTCTTCTATGCATAAATAAATAAATAAATCTTTTAAAAAATCCCCACCAACAAGTGCTGGAGAGGATGCAGAGAAAGAAGAACCATATTACACTGCTGTTGGGAAAATGTAAACTGGAGCAACCATTTTGGAAAGTGATCTGGATTTACCATAAAAAACTAAAAACGGAAATACCACATGACCCAGCAATCTCACTCTTGGGCATCTATCCAAAGAACATGAAATCATCGACTCAAAAAATTCTATGCTCTACAACGTTTATTGCAGAATTATTTACAATAACTAGGACATGGAAAAACCTAAGTGACTACAGAGAAGAGGACTGGTCAAGAAGGTGTGGTATATCTACATAATGTAATACTATAGTCAACCACAAGGAAGGACAAAATGCTGCCATTGATAGCAAAATAGAAGGCGTTTGAGGGCACTGTGTACAGTAATGCAAGTCAGAATGACTAAGACAAATATTGACATTTACACAGCAGATGATTTGACAAAGCAAAATACTTATAAAAAAACTAGTGGACACTAATAAATGAAATGAGGTTTCTGAGGTAAAGAGGAAGGGGACAGAGAAAGGGTCAAACAGGTATGAGGGATGATGATAGGAAAAATGTTAAATATTGAAGTACCAATGATCTAGAAATTCCACGCCCAAGAAAAATGAAAACACATATTCACACAAAACTTCTAACAAATGTTCACAACAGCATTATTTATAATAGCCAAAAAGGTGGAAACAACCCAAATGTTCATCAATGAAATGGATAAATGAAATATGGCATATCCATACAATGGGATATTATTCAGTAATAAATAAGAATATAAAGTACAGTCATGCATTGTTTAACAACATTTTGATCAAAGACAAACTGCACATTGTTGTCCCAATAGGCTGTACTATATGTCCTAGGCATATGTCCTATACCATCTAAGTTTGTGTAATGACACTATGATATTCACACAACCACAAACTCACTTAACAATGTACAGCTCAGAGCATGTCTCTGTCATTAAATGATGTATGACAGCACTAATACTTGGTTTAACATGGATGAAGGGGCTTCCCTGGTGGCACAAGGGGTTAAGTCTCAGCACTATGAAGCAGTCCACAGCCACTGCAGCATGAGTTCAGATCCCTGCCAGGCAGCTAACCCACATGGCACAGCAGACCTCTCCTGTCTCGCCCGCTGCTCCCCTCAGCAGTGTATTTCACTCAAATCTGCCTGTTCTGTTCCCCACTCTGTCTCTAGTGAATCCTCTCACCCCCTGCACCTCTGGCATGTACCCCAGTTCTTATATGCATAAATAAATAAATCTTTAAAAAAAACAAACATGGATGAAGCTTGAAAACATTATCCTAAGTGAAAAAAAAAACTAGTCACAGAAAACCACATATTTTATTGTATGATTCCATTTATATGAAAATTCTAGAATAAGCAAATCTATAGAGACCAAGTAAATTAGTGGTTGCCTGTGACTTGGGCCAAGTAGTGGGCATGAGGAATGAGTACAATGGGTACAGTGTTCCCTTTTGGGGGGGTGATAAAATATTCTAAGGTTAGATTGTGGTCATGATACAATTAGACTGTGATAATATTCACAACTCCATCTAAAATCATTGAACTGTAAGATTTAAATGGGTGAAGTTTATGGTGGGTGAATTATATCAATAAAGCTGTTATGAAAAAAAAAAAAAAAGATCATATGGCTAGTTACTGGCAAAGCAGGGATTCAAATCCAGCATCTGGGAAGTGGAAGGTACTCAATGTCTGTCTGTTGAGTGAATGAATGGATGGATGAATAAACACCTTTCACTTTTAAGTTTAAAAATGCCCAAGTTACTTCCATTAAAATTAGCAACAAAATAGGGATATCAAGTATCACTCAACATTGCTTCAAAATCTCCAGCTAATACAAAGAAGATCAAATAATCAGAACAAATATTTAAAGGAAGAGACATTATCATTTTTAATTGGATGTGATATTTTATATCTAAGAAAATTAAGATACTATAAAAAGCAATGAGAACTCACATCAGCATTTGAGAAGTGTATTAGGTAAGAAATAAAATTACAAAAATTGATAGGTTTTTCTGTAGGAATAGAAAAAAAAATGTGTTATGCTATTTACCAATGAACTTTTTTTTTAAGGTGCTGGATCTGTAACAAGAGACTATAAAATAGTATAACTTTAATGGTGTTTTTAAGAACTAAATAAAATGATTGAAGCATTCATATGGAAGAATGAATGCTAAAAAATATCAAAGCAAACAACAACAAAAAAATAGACCAGAGAGGGGACTAGCACTATTCAATATCAAAATTATTTCTAAGTCAATAAATTTCTGAAAGGGAGTAGATACATATAACACAAGAAATAAAAATAGAGTTCAGCAATAGAACAATATACATTTGGGAATTTATTTGACAAAAGTGACATTTAATTGTGTTAGAAAGGGTTTTTCATTCAATGATTGGTGGAAGCAAATTTTCTGTCCAAATGGAAAACACAAACTTTGATCCCATCTCACACCATACACCAGAATAACTTCCAGTTGGATTTAAATATAACTTTAAAAGTGAGGAGAACTCACTAGACAAGATACTCAAAATTTGTAAAGGAAAAAGACAGATATATCCAGTCAAATGATTATTTTAGTCTAATTATATTTGAAGACAGCACTCAAAAATCAAGGTATAAAGAGAGATAAATGAAAAATATATATAAGAAATGACAAAGGTTAATATTCACAAATTAGTCAGAAAGATAAACCACATGCAGGAAAAAATGATATGAGAAAATTTTAAAATACATTTCAATGGCCAATAACTATGAAAAGATGTCCAACCAGTAGTTTTCAGGAAAATACACATCAAAATAAACTAGTTACCCTTGTGTTTGGCTCTCAGATGGGGGAAAGTTAAAAAGCAATAGCATTTAGTGTGGAAGATGATCTTGGAATGAGCCTTTTTATGTGTAGCAGGTGGGAGTTCCAACTTGACAGAAGTTTTAGAAAATAATTTGGTGGTATGTACTGGATTTTAAAATATCCATCCCTGCACTCAATAATCACTCAGATGAAAGTCTCTGACTATAATTTAGAAATCAATAGCAAAAATTCCAACTTTTGGGAAAATCAAAGTCCCATATCTAAACAACTAAGGGGTGAAGAAACCACAACCGAAATTAGAAAACATTAGCAGTAAACTATAATAGAAACACTATATATCAAAACTTGTCACATGGAGATAAAGTGTTCTCAGAGAAAAAAATCATGAACTTAATGATTGTGATAAAAGAAAATGATTCAATATTGAGATGAACATTCAATTGAGGAATTTAAAAATAAGAACAAAAGAAAAAAAAAAGAAATGATGAAATCAAGGACAGAAGTTAATGGCACAGAAAGCAAAGATACAGGAACAACAAAGTCAAAAGTAGGTTTGAGAACCAAGCCCATCTTGGTCCACCTATCACTGACCCTCTTCAAAAGTAGTATATCTGATTCCACAGACCCTCCTATTACTAGTCCCACATCACTCATCACAATCACTCCACCCACAGATGCCTTGACTACCCATCCATTAAATCCCATCATACACCTCACAGACCCTGCATCACTCACCTCAATGGTCTGCATCATTTCAAAATCTCCACATCACCCATTCATTGACTCTTCAATACATTGACTTCAGAGACCAGCCATTACTCTCCCAAAGACTCCCATCACTCACCCCATTGAACCAACATCATTCTCTTAGACCCCCATCACTTACCCAATTAACCCCAGATACTCCCCCCACTACTTGTCCCACAGACCACACGTCACACCCCAGAGATCCTATAGTCACAATACAGTCCCCACTCCTTACTTCCCTAACCCTTTATCACTCAACCCACAGACCTCCCTCACTTATCTCATACAGCCAATCACTCACCCCACAAACTCATTGTTGTCAACTTCACAGATATTCCCTCGTTCACCCTATAGACCCCACAATCACTGATCCCACAAACTCTCAAATACCTCACAGTTCCCTAATCACTTACCCCACAGGCTTTGTACCATGTATCCCACAGAGCCCCCATCACTTACAGCCGAATTACCCATTCCTTTATCCACTGACCCCACCATTCACTAACTCCTGTCACTTATGCTAGGTGCCTTCTCATAAGTGACTCCAGAGAAGGCTCACCCATCACTCACTCTACACAGTACCATCTTTGGTAATGAAATCCATGGCATAACACTCCCATAATTATGTTAATATTTTACTGTCCCCAAATAGTTTTCTCTGTTAAACTTGGTCCCCAAGCCTTAAGTCTTGAAACTGCCTCTGAGGGACTTTCATGTCTGGACTTCCTATTGCACATGCTCACTGTCGACTTGGAAGTGACCCACCACCCACAATTACACAGGGTGCACTTACGAGGTGTGTGTGTTTCAAATTTTCTATAGTGACTTTGTTAGGCAGCTAACATGGCTGTCCCCTTGGGAGTGTCTCTATGGGAGTCGCCATCTTGGAAGGTGGTCACTGTGCTGCGGAGCCAGCAGACCCTGCCCGATAATCCCCTGCAAGATTTCGCAGTACCTGACCCGGCCAGACCGTGGGCCTGGCACTCTGACCGCGCTCATGCCTGCGCGGCAATCTCGCCGCTCCTGCCGACCCGCTGGCGGGGCGCTTTCCCTTTTCTGCACTAGGGGGGGCCCCACCCTCAGGCCGCACCCGCGGGGAGATGCGGATTCTTAGCGCGTCGTGAGGCCAAGGCCGCCACCCACCCCCCCACTCACCCCCGCCCCATCCAGGCAACAAAGACTCCTCTGAGCTGCAGGCCAGGAAATTGGCCTCGGGCCCCGCCCCCGCCCCGCGCCACCGCCTCGGGGTGCGAATGGCTCCGGTCGGGCGCTGGCAGCTGCGAGGCGGAGCCGGGGCCGCGACGTGCCCACCTGATGGCACCTCTGTCCCCCCGGCGGCTGAGAACATCGCCTGGCTCCACGACTGTCACCGACCCTGGGTAGTTGCCATGGGGGGAATAGTACGTGTCAGATTTAGGCCAGGAAGCGGAAGTCGCCCGCAGCGAGAGTTTTAACCACTCTGGGCGCGGGGAGCAGAGATGATCTAGCTCCGGGGACAGAGTGTCTGTAGAGGAGTAATTGGGAGTCTGTGACAATGGTGGTGGCGATGTCCTTTAGATGAGGTGTTGGGTTCAGTGAACGGGGTCCTTGGGTGATCTCTGAGAAAAAGTTTAGGCAGAGTTCCCCTTTCAGCTGGCAAATGGCAAGTTTACCCAGGCGACCAAGACGTTTGCACAGACACCTCGGGTGAAGGGAACATTTCAAAAGGGCCGCTTTATTAGGGACACACACACACACACACACACCTGCATTTTGACACATGCACACACACACACACACACCCCCCTACCTGCATTTTGCCAGTGCCGAAATTGCACTGATATAGTGTTCTTTGGGGGAGAGGTTCACTCCTTTGTGGAATTGTTATCTGTTGTTAGATTAATTACTTCTAGGGTGTGACTAGGTTGACTTGTAAGGACCCAGATTGTCTGTAATGGCCCTCAATCTCCATCTCCCCACCTCTGGTCTGAGCCTCCACATGCTCTCCAAAGCAGTTGGCAACTAAGGATTTTCATTTCTGTATCTGGTATAACAACTATGTCAATCATTTCTATCCAAACTCCACCTCCATCCCAGATTTTTTACTCTACACCTCTATCATTGGGACGTTTCATCCAATTTTTTACAAAACCAAGTGAGCAACCTTGGTTTCCTTCTATAAGCATGAAAGTAAATTATCTTCTAAAGATCCAAGCTTTGATAATTTTTCTTTTCATTAATGTTGCGTTTCAAGTGCTAATTTGTAAATTTTCCCCCCTTTTAACCATGAATTAGTCAGAAGTTCATTGTCAAGCTTGTAAAAGTTCCCTAAGACTCAAGGGGCAAGTGAATGGATATTTTATTCAGGTTCCAGAGACAGGGACACCAGCCCAGCGCGGTGTCTCTGGGCGCACAGCGGTGGGAGGTTATGTGAGAGGACCTTTACAGGGAAAGGAAATCATGGTGGCTGAGTGCCCTCTGCATGTTGGGGAGGCTTTGGTCCTCGGGTGTGGGAAGGCTGCCTGAAACAGCTGACTGCAATTTGGCCCATCTCAGTCCGGGGCATCCTGTTCTCAGGCTCAAAGAAAGATTTAGAGGGAGGACAAAAATTTTACAGTTCCTGACGCCACTTTTCACTTCCCCAAACAAACATGAAGTTAATCCTGATGTCCGTGATTTCTAACCTAGTTGCATTGTGGCCTGAGATTGTTGTCTGAATGATGCTAAGTCTTTGAAATTTGCCTAAAGACAAAAGAAGAACAAGCTCAGTTTTCATCTTTTGGGTGAAAAAATTGTACTTTCCAAGTGTTGGGCTTAGCAAATTGGTCTATTGGTTCAAGCTTGTTAGTTGGGCTATTTTCCCCCCATTTTCTCAAGATTAAATGATTATTTAAATAGCACCCCACACTATATAAATCAGCATTCTCTCCCATAATTCTGTGCACCTGGGACTACAAAACTGTCACTGTCCTTGTTCCAAATTAACATTCTCAGGTCACAATGTTTTCCCAACAGCGATCTTCCAGAAAAAAACAAGCTATTTCCCACACTTCTATTTCCCTGTTTTTGTAGCATGTACCTGCAACCTATCCAGGAAGTATACAGTGGGCAGTAGGAGGACCTCCACCAGCAAGCCACTTGTTGGCAGCCATATGCTTAGAGACAAGCACAAAGGGATAGGTCAACACACTGGCAAAAAATCCTGTGACACCTTGGGAGGAACTTCACTTCATTCATGGTGGACACCCCAGGGACCAGTGCACAGGTACTGATGATGTAGACTAGAAGAGTTACACAGCCACAAGGAAATGTCACCTGGGAGACGAGGAGTAGGACCCTCAAAAAAAATCATAGGATGCCCTATTCCACGATAGACATAGAGTCACAAAGGCCACATGTAGGGTAAGGAAAGTATCAGGCTTTTCTGCCCTCCTGCCATTAGGATTGATGAGGAATCCCTGCGGTCCTGAATGCATGCCTGATGGCGGGCACCTGGAGTGGGGTGTGGGCATACGTAGATGGGATTCACCTGGGCTAACACTGGGCTTTTAAGGGCGGCGTCACAGGGACACCAGAGGAACAGCAGAGCAGAGAGCAGAACCACGAGAGAATGCCGGAGAGCCCAGATAGAGTGAAGACTTGCTGGGGGCTAGGAGGCCTGCCAGTCTCCCGGCCCCCCTGCCTGCCATGTACCTGGTAATCCCAATAAAAGCCTGAAAAGCCACAGAGGACTCCAGGACTCTCTCCTTTACACTGTCTGCTCTAATCATAGAGCTCCTGCTCCATGTCCTCCTGCCTTTACATTTGGCGTAAGTCGGCAAGATAATCTAAAGCAGACTGGGTAAGGAGAGAGTCCTGGAGTCCTCGGTGGCTCTCCGGCCTTTTCTCATGGCCTTGTTCCCTGCTCCTCTTGTGGTTCTGCTCTTTGCTCTGCTGTTCCTCTGGTGTCCCTGTGACACCGCCCTCATAAGCCCAGTCTCAGCCCAGGTGAATCCCATCTACCTATGCCCACACCCTACTCCAGGTGCCCGCCATCCGGCATGCATTCGGGACCAGAGGGGTCCACCATCAATCCCAATGGCGGGAGGGGAGACAAGCCTGATACCTTTTTACCTCACCCTATAACCATAGACCTCAGAGTGACTATGTGGAAGGGATGTGTGATATGAGGGTAGCAGCAAAGCAAGTTATCATCACTTGTTAGCTTCTTGATAATTTGGTCAAAGGAAGATTGGCTCTTGTAGGGGCAGGACAAGGCACAGTGCAGGTGTTCTAGGATAACATGCAGACCGGGTAAAGGAGGAGTCAGAGTCCTCAGTGGCTTTTTTGCAGGCTTTTTATTTAGATTACCAGGTACACGGCAGGCAGGGGTGCTGGGGGGCCGGGAGGCTGGCAGTCCTCCCGGCCCCCAGCAGGTCTTCACTCTGGGCTCTCCGGCCTTCTCTTGGCTTCTGCTTCTACTGCTACTGCTTCTCTTCTCTGCGTCTCTACTTCTGCTGGCATCCCCGCGACGCCGCCCTTAAAAGCCCAGTCTTGGCCCAGGTGAATCCCATCTACATCTGCCAACACCCCACTCCAGGTGCCCGCCATCGGACATGCATTCGGGACCGCAGGGTTCCGTCATCTATCCTGATGGCGGGAGGGCAGAGAAGCCTGACATTTTCCCTTACCCTACAGCTCTCTCGGCCCCACCGCTGCCACGCCGCTGTCTTGGACAGGAGCTGGGTGTGGCTGTCGTGCAGGCAGGCAGCAGGGCGGGCTCTCTGATGATTCAGGCGACGGGAAAGGAGAGTCCAGGAGCATTCAGTGGCTTTCTCAGGCTTTTAATGATCTTTCTAAGCCACTTGTGGTGAGGCAACCAGGTACAGGGCAGGCAGGGGGTGCCAAGGGCCGTGAGGCCTGCCAGCCGGCGAATCTTCACTCTCCTTCGCACCTCTGGCGTTCTCTCACGGTCTCATCCTCTCTGGTGCCGCCATTATAGCCTCTGTCTCTCAAGTGTGCACACTGCCGCATGTCTACGCCATAGTCCAGGAGCCCGCCATCAGGCATGCGTGCCCTGAGCCCACGCTCCCAAAAACCTCCTGCATTCAAGGCCGCAGGTGATAGCCACAGAAGCTCAGCAAAAGCCTGAGCAATCTTTATTTACCCTACAACAGCCCATCAACCTGGCTAGTGTCACCAAGGTGCTGGGCAGGACCAGCTCTCAGGGATAGTGACATGCGCGCGGAATTCATGGACGACAGGAGCCCCTCACCATCCGCAATGTGAAAGGCCTGGTACACAAGAGTGATGTGCTGAGTCAGGGTAGAGGCTCAAAGGCTGCGCTGAACTTGGTGCTTGGTCCTGGAGAGTGTCTGGATGGACCACCTGGCCCCTTGGCAATGCCCTAACACTGTTAATGAACCATTTATATTGTATATTAAAAAGTAAGGGGGGATAAGACTTCTTTCTGTACATTTCCAGACCCTAACTCCTCAACCTTGTCACACGCCTGGTAACGCTGTAAAATTTTACCAAGCATCATGGTTCCAAGGACTCCTGAACACAGTCTTAGAGTTAAGCCTGTGAACAGTCCACACCTCCCGTCAATGTGTCCAGTGTGCTGAGCATAACAAGAGATACCAAGAAGCTGATTTACTTGCATCCCAAAATACTTCATCCTATTACTGGAGGAAAAGGCACAACCCCTATCTGGATGAGTACCTGTGCATATACAGTGTGTGGATCAGGATCGTGAGACCAGGCCCAGGAGCACCTGCCATGTCCACTGTGATAGTGTAACAGTGTAATCCCATGTGTATGTCAGTGAGACCATCACCACAGTCAAGATAGTGGACATAAACTGTGCCCCCCAAAATTTCTTCCTGCCTCCCTGGTAATCCTTCTCTTCTGCTCCTACTGTCCTTGCAACCCCCCAGGCAACCACTGATATGATTTCGGTCACCATAGAGCAATTTGCATTTTCCAAAATTTTATTGACCATATTTATGTAACTTTTCGTGCCACAATATTATTTCCTTATTTATTTGTTTATTTTAAAAGATTTTATTTATTTATTTTTGCACAGAAGAATGGGGTGTAGGCCAGAGGTGCGGGGGGTGAGAGGATTCACCAGAGACAGAGTGGGGAGCAGAACAGGCAGACGTACTGAAATACACTGCTGAGGGGAGCAGCAGGCTTGGGTCAAGCAGAATTCAAAGATCTTTTAGGAACAGAAAAACCTAACTAGAGTTTGATTAATAAGCAGTTTGTTCTGATTTATTTGGCACTTATGATGCAAAGAACGGGAATTTGGAGAGTCTGTGTCTGGCCTTGTCATAGGTAAACCAGGTCAGGGCGGGGGGCATCCATGAGTCTTATCTAATTCATATACAGATGGGGGTGGGGGGTGTCGGTTTTTGTAGTAAGCCTTTTTCCAGAACACAAAAGAATAAGGGTGTTTCTTAATAGTCATTGTTTACC